GGGCGGATCGCTGTGAGTTTGAGGCCAGCCTGGTCTCCAGAGGGAGTGCCAGGATAGGCATCAAAGCTACACAGAGAAACCCTGTCTCGAAAAACCAAAAAAAGAAAAAAAAATCCCAGATTTGGTTCCTTGGGACTTTGAATGAGTTTGAGGGAAGGAGGGGTTGATTCCCTGAGGCTTTCTAATATAAGCTAGGGCCTAATGGTCACTGTGGAGGAAGCCATGGGGAGTGGAGAAGTCTTTGCTCTTCATAGTCTGGTCATCTTCATTAATCTTTCTTTCTTTTTTTCCATGTCCTTGCCTCGGAGCAGTTATTACAGTAAGTATTTCGGCAGGGGAGGGGTAGGAGGGATTGAAATACTAGATGATTTACAAGAAAAGAAATAAGAGTGTACCTGCACTAGATGTTCTGCTGGTCTCTTGTTCCCCTTGGTTGATGTTGGGGCTGTTGAGGCTCGAGTATTTCAGTCCTAATGAGGATCTTGCCAGTCAGTGCTTTAACTGCATTGGCTCGTGCTAGGTAAGACCTGACTCTGGGTCTCAGAGGTACCCTCGGGTCGTGCCTACCCAGGGCTGTACAGATGTTTCAGTTCAGCCAGCCTAGATGTGCCATCCCTTTCCTATTTGGGCATCTGTTGGTTCTAGTGAGCACTGACCATTGACAACATTGTGACATCACTAAACTTGCTCTTCCAGAACCAGCCCCTTGCCCCTCAAGCTCTTGCTCTTCAGCATAATCCCTCAAATTCCTGTCCCTGCTGCAGAACAAATCCCTGCCAGCGAACAATGGGCTTTTTTCCTCCTCATGTAGCTCCTTTTACTAAATGGCTTTTTAAATAGGTGTTACACTTTTTAAAAGCACCAAGGGAGGGGGACAAAATTACAACCAAAGGCTTGATATAGGGAAAGGGGCCAGCATGAAGACTTTTCTTTAGCTAGGAGACTTTGTGGCTACTGGCTACATTTGCATTCTGTACATAAGCTAGTATGGAAGACTGGTTAAATACTGAATTCTAAACTCAGACAAATGGGGGCTTTGGCCTCACCGTGCTTTAGCTCTGTGACCTTCAGATTTTTGAACTTCACTTTGTAAACTCAGGGTGATCATATGTGTGAAGCATAATACTTAGTCCTGGGACCACAGGGATAACATCGAGGTGGCTGTTATCAAGCCAGCTGGAGTCTCACAACTCCAGGCTTGCATGATCCCCAGTAATGGAAGGTGGTGGCTCTCCAGCTCCGACCTTGTCGGTCACTAAGGTATTTGTTTCCTCTTCCAGAATGAATACATGAAAGAAGACTTTCTGATTAAAATTGAAACCTGGCACAAGCCGGATCTTGGCACCCAGGAGAATGTAAGTTTCACCTCTCAAAAGCCCTTGGTGGCTCCAGGACCTTGGTAGATATCTCAGGCTCTGCCCTGTAGCCTCTCCTGTCTTGCTGCAGGCTCCTCTCTATGCTTCTCTTCTGCCTGGCTAGGAAGGTTTCTCCAGATTGTTCTACAATGCTGTTTCCTGTCATTGATTTGCAAAATGTCATCTCTAAGATTCTTTGGCCGGGCAGTGGTGGCACATGCCTTTAATCCCAACACTCAGGAGTTCGAGACCAGACTGGTCTACAAGAGTAAGTGCCACAACAGGCTCCAAAGCCACAGAGAAATCCTGTCTCAAAAAACAATAACAACAAGAAGCTGAGGGAAGCTGGGTGCTGGTGGTGCACGCCTTTAATACCAGCACTTGGGAGGCAGATGCTAGCTTGGTCTACACAGTGAGTTCCAGGACAGCCAGGGCTACACAGAAAAACCCTTTCTTGAAAAACAAAAGCCGAGGAGCCGAGTGTGGCCGCACACACACCAGCACTCTGGAGGAAGCAGCAGGTGAATCTCAGTGAATTGAGGTCAGTGTGGTCTACAGACTAAGTTCCAGGACTGTCAGGGCTGCAGAATGAGACTTTGTTCCAAAAAGAAAACTAAAAAGCAACTGATGAAAATACTCGTGTATGGGCTGGAGAGATGGCTCAGAGGTTAAGAGCACCAGCTGTTCTTCCAGAGGTCCTGAGTTAGCTCAATTCCCAGCAACCACATGGTGGCTCACAACTATCCGTTATGAAATCTGGTGCTCTCTTCTGGTGTGCAGATATACATGGAAGCAGAATGTTGTATACATAATAAATAAATAAAATCTTAAAGAAAATATATTGGTCACTGTAAAAAGCAGGATATTAAAGGGTTAGAACCAATGGCTGGACAGGCCATAGGTCCTGGGAGAATCTAGAACTATTAATCTGCTAAATGGACATAGGATGAAATGACTTACTGGTACACCCACAGATCAGAGCATCTCTCAACCCTCTTTAGAGAGGAGCTTCTCCTCTCAGCAGCTGCCAGTTAACACAGAGACCCCTAGCTATTCAATGTGTGGAGATATGAAGTGCTCAGCTGTAAATGGGACCTCTTACATCCCTCCCTGCAAGCTTCAGTGGTCTTTGCAGAAAAATGGGTAGAAAAATTGTGGTCGATAACATCAGTGTTTTCCAGAGACAACAAGATAGATGCACATATGAACTCTCATCAGTTTTAACAAGCCCTGTGAAAGTTTAACCAGACAGAATCCCATCATAGATGTGGGGACGTAGGCACAAACTCCTACCACTAGTCAGAAATGATGGTGGACGCCTTTAATACCACCACTCAGGAAGCAGAGTCAGGGTTCCATGGATCTGGTCTCATGTCTCAAAAACAAAGAAAAAAAGTTTCATCCCTCCACTAACTGAGGAGCTGTTGGCATTTAATTGCTACTGAGAGGGAGAGTGTGTTGTTAGGGTTCTCTAGAAGAAGAGATAGAATGAATCAAGGGGGGGCATTGGTATTAGACTGGCTTACAGGCTTTGGTTCCACTAGTCCAGCAATGGCTTTTTTACCAATCAAAGGTTTAAGCATCTAGTAGTTGTTCAATCCACAAGGCTGGATGTTTCATCTGGTCTTCAGTATCCATTGGGATCCTGAAGAAGTAGGCTCTAGTGCCAGTGAAGGAACAGACTTTCACTCTCATTGCCAGTGAGAAAGTGAGGACAAACAGGCAACGAGCAAGTGCTTCCTTCTTCCATGTCCTTTATGTAAGTTCCCAGAAGAAGGTGTGGCCCAGATTAAAGGTGGACCTTCCCACTTCAAATGATTTAAAGAAAATCTCTCACAGGTATACCTAACCTTTTGGGTTTTAGTTAATTCCAGATGTAATCAAGTTGACAACCAAAAATAGCCATCATATAGAGTCATATAGAGTTGGGTTTTGTTTTTGGTTTTGTTTTGTTTTTTGAAACAGAGTTTCTTTGTGTAGCCTTGGCTGTCCTAGAACTTGCTCTGTAGACCAGACTGGCTTCAAACTCACAGAGATCTGCCTGCCCTTGCTTCCTGAGTGCTGGGATTAAAGTCATAGGTGTTTTAACCCTCGTATAATTCTTTACTAGTAGGAATATCCCACCAAAGGTGTGGGAAGATCTGTTTATAGATTTCTGTTTTAGGTAAAGGATGCTTGTCACTATCAGAACTGCACATGCATAACAAGTGGTCTCCTACTTTCTTCCAGGTGCATAAACTGGAGCCTGAGACATGGAAACATGTGGAAGCTGTATATATAGACATTGCTGATCGAAGCCAAGTACTTAGCAAGGTGGGGACTTCTTAAAAGACTTAGGGATGCAGAAGTGACTTGTAAATGCTAAAGAGAGCAGGGAACCTTACCCAGCTTGGTGCAGAAGGAATTTCTCTCTGGTGTGCATTATTTGTTTTATTATTGTTGTTACTGTTTTTATGGTACTACTGGTTGAGCCCAGGGCCTCCCACATGCTAGAGAAACACTCTAGCACTCAAGACATGCCCAGCCCTCTTTTTTTTGTTTGTGTTTCTGTTTTCCTTTTTGAGACAGGGTCTCACTGTGTTGTCTTGGCAGGCTTAGAACTCGGAGATTAACCGGTCTCTGCCTCCCAAATGCTGGGATTAAAGTTGTGCACCACAATACCTGCTAATAGGCTTATTTGTTTGTTTTTAGTTTGTTGAGGCAGGGTTTCTCTGTGTAGCCCTGACTGTCCTGGAGTTCATTCTGTAGACTAGGATGGCCTTGAATTTATAGAGCTATGTCTGCCTCTGCCTCCTGAGTGCTGGCATTAAAGGTGAGCACCACCACTACCCAGCTAACACAGAGTCTCGCTAAGTTTCCTGACATGGCTATTTCTAAAGTCAGTGCTAAGAGTTCTCTGAGCCATGGGGCTGGAGAGATGGCTCAGGGCCTAAGAGCACTTACTGCTCTTGCAGAGGACCTGTACTTGGCTGCATGCCCATGGTACACATACATCCCTCCCTCCCTCCCTCCCTCCCTACTTCCCTCCCTCCCTCAAGTTTCTTGGCTCAGTGATTAAAGACTAAGAGAAAGATAGGCACTTGAGAAGACAGTACATGCCCAAGTAAAAAGATGTGGGCTTCTTGAAGGAGTGTCAACATCGATATTGATTTTAGCCAGGTGTGGTGGTGCATGTTTTTAATCCCAGCCCTGGAGAGGCAGGTGGACCTCTTGAGTTTGAGGCCAGCCTGGTCTACAAAGCAAGTTCCAGGACAGCCAGGGCTATTACCCAGAGAAACCCTGTCTCTAAGAACAAAAACAAAAACAAAAACAAATTGATTTTATTAAAACAAACCAGGAGATCAAGCTAGGAAATGTTAAGAATGATGACTAAATATCCCCAGCTCTGACTGTGTTTTGAATCATCTGAACAGATTTATTCATTTATTTATTTATTGGAAACATTATCTCATGTAGTTCTGGTGTGCCTTGAATTGGATATATAGCCAAAGATGGCCTTGAACTCCTTATCCTCCCAGCCCCACATCCTAGGTGCTGGGATTACAGACACTTGCTGTGTCCAGCTACCTGAAATGTTTAAAAAGAAAAATTACCAGGTATGGTGACCCATGCTGCTAATCCCAGTGCTTAGAAGGCTGAGGCAGAAAGATTGCCCCAAGTTCAAGATCATCTAGTGCTACAATATAAAAGAAAACCCAGGCTGTCAAAATGGCTTAGCAGGTGAATTTGCTGAGCCTGAGGACCTGAGTTTGGTCTCTGGAACCCACATAGTAAGAGGAAGAACCATCTCTTTAAGCTCTCCTCTGCCCTCCACACGTGAGCTGCCAGTGTGTGTTGGTGCAGGATCAGACACACGTGTACACACAGACACATACATGTACATATAAACATTCACAAATAAGTAAATGTAAAAAAGAATTTAAGGGCTGGAGAAATGTCTCAGCAGTTAAGAGCACTAACTGCTCTTCTATAGGATCCAGGGTCAATACCTGGCACCCACATGGCAGCTCACAACTGTCTGTAACTCCAGTTCCAGGGGACCAGACACCCATAGCAAAATACCAACTCACATAAAATATAAACAAACAAATGAATAAGATTTTAAGAAGTAAAAGGATAGAGATATGGCTCAGTGATTAAATGTGCCTGTTGCTCTTGCAGAGGACCTGTTATTCCAGCTCCAAAGGATCAAACACCCTCCTCCGGCCTCAAGTAAAATAATTTTTTTTTCCCCCCGAGACGGTTTCTTTGTGTAACAGCCCTAGCTGTCCTGGAACTCTGCCTCCTGAGTACTGGGATCAAAGGCAAGTGCCTACACTTCCCAGCTGATAAATTTTAAAAAGAAAATCCATGTTGTTCTCAACTGAAGATATTCTAAGTCTCTGGGATTTAGGTAGTATGGCTCAGAAATCTGTAGTTTGAAAGTCTTCCCTCGTAATTTGGATGGTCACTTAAGTTGAAAAGTCTCTGACTTGAACACTACTTGATCAGTCAGTCTGCTGACATTTTGGTACTGATAAAGTTGCAAACAAACCTGGTGGAGAACATCACACAGGCCTCAACTTTGAGGCAAATGTAAACAGTCTGTCTTAGTTAGGGTTAGTATTGCTGTGATGAAATACCATAACCAAAGCAACTTGGGGAGAAAAGGGTCTATTTGGTTTATGCTTCCACATCTCTCTTCATCATCAAAGCAAATCAGGACGGAAACTCAAACAGAGCCAGAACCTGGAGTCAGGAGCTGGTGCAGGGGCCATGGAGGGTACTGCCTACTGGCTTGTTCCTCATGGCCTGCTCAGCCCAGAACCACCAGCCCAGGGATAGCACCACCTACCATGGGCTGGGTCCTCCTCCAGTCACTAATCAAGAAAATGCCCTACAGGTTTGCCTATAGCCTGATCTTACAGAGGTATTTTCTTTTTGTTTCTTTTTTTTTCTGACACGATTTCTCTGTGTACCCTTAACTGTCCTGGAACTCTCCCTGTAGACTACTTTAGCCGTGAACTCACAGAGATCTGCTTGCATCTGCCTCCCAAGTGCTGGCATTAAAGGCTTGTGCCACCACTGCCGGGCTTGGAGGCATTTTGATAACTGAGCTTCCCTCTTCTCAGATGACTTTAGCTTGGTCAAGTTAACATAAAACTAACCACAACACAGTTCTATATCTTGTCTGTAACATTTTCCCATACTTGAAGTATACCAGCAACTTCAAGAACTGCTAAAGCTGGGCATGGTATCAGAAGCAGGTAGATGTTTGTGTGTCTGAAGTCAGCTTGGTCTAATTCATTGGTGCAGGCCAGCCAGGACTACATAGAGAGACCCTGTCTCAAAGCAAACAAACCAAAAAAACTGGTATGAAATGCTCTCTGATGAAAATTTGCTCTTTCTTCATCCTCATTCTCCCTTTCCCCTCCTCTCACTTTCTCTCTTCCAACCCCATTTCCACTATTTTTAGGATTACAAGGCAGAAGAAGACCCAGCAAAATTTAAATCTGCCAAAACAGGACGAGGACCTTTGGGCCCAAATTGGAAGGTACAGTTCCCACCCTTACCACCAGGGGGCCAGGCATGCTGTGGGTGGGTCTCTCCTCATGGAGGAGGGTATGTGTGGAGTTCGGACAGCCTGGGGTCTTTCTTTCTAGTTACCAGCCTGCTTCTGGTTATTTTTCTAATGCAGCAAGAACTTGTAAATCAGAAAGACTGCCCATATATGTGTGCATACAAACTGGTTACTGTCAAGTTCAAGTGGTGGGGCTTGCAGAACAAAGTGGAAAACTTTATACATAAGGTAAGTATGCAGGATGGGGCCTTTCATTGTGTCTCTGTCTTTGTGTTGGGAAGAGCAGTCTGGCCCAGTAACAGTGACCTGTTTCCTCATTTGCTAGCATTAGAATCTTTGGTTTGCTTTGCTATCCCTTCCTTTCCCTTGCTCATACTGTCTTACAGTTTAATGCTGTTCATCACCACTTGTGACAAGGAAAGAAACTGAGGTGAAATAAGGAAACAGGAAAGGGTTTGCTGTGGTTGAAGTATAAATGAAACTCATTTCCTTTTTCTTGAAGCCAAAAGGCAAGAGGCACAGTGTGCTGAGTTACAGAACTCTAAGCCTTTTAATTCTCACATATGTTAGAATCACACTTTTGAACCATTTCTCATATGCTGGCTAGTCATTACCTAGTGTTAGGCACCAGAAACAGTAGGAAATGTGGCTGTTGTTAGGGTCCTCTGCTTGGCCAGATCCCATGAGCTGCCTGTCTTGGCAGTATTTGGACAGCCTTCCTACTGCAACACTTACCTGACAGAAACAGGAAGGCAAAGGTCACTGATCTGTGTCTGATACAGATAAGGCAGCCAGCCATCACTCCTACCCTCTACCCTATTAAACTGTGGATGTTAGTGGATGCCCTGGGGGGACTGAGCAGGAGCTTTCACCTTTTGGGTTTTGACTCATTCCCTCCTTTTACAGCAAGAGAAGCGTCTGTTTACAAACTTTCACAGGCAGCTGTTCTGTTGGCTCGATAAATGGGTTGATCTGACTATGGATGACATTCGGAGGATGGAAGAAGAGACAAAGAGACAGCTGGATGAGGTGAGTGGGATGCAGGGGACTCAGATGGGTGACTGATAAGGAGATTGGTATTTGGACACATCTAAGGGTACCATCCTCATCACACTGTTGTTTGAAGGACAGCTCTCTTGTGGATAAGCTTACTGCTAGGCAGTATGGGAACTATAAGAAGAACAGCCTGTGCTCCCAAGTACAGTCTGGCTGAGGTCCTGGCACAGCCGCAGAGACAAATATGGTAGTCTGCCTGATGCCAGTGAGTAATAAAGCCACTGCAGTGATTCTTCAGTCAGTGTGGGGGATGGGGGATGGGCTGAGAACTTGTGGTGACCCTGGGGCCAGGCAGGCTAGGCTGTTCTGCCAACAGCACCCACATTAGGAGGGCAGCCGCAGCACATGCAGAAGCCCACTGCTTTGTGTGGTTGTGAGCTCTTTTTGCAGCTTGGAGGATTTTTTTGTTTTTGTTTTTTTTTGACTTTTGTTTAAGTGTTTTTGTTTTTGAGTTTGGCATGGATCCCAGGAGGAGGGTGGTGTGCTCTCTGGGAGCCTGAAGACCCAGCACTCTTGCCTCATTTAAGGAAGCTTCCCCCAGAGATCCACTTAGAGGAGGTGCTTGGTGAAAACCACCAGGCACCGGTTTCTGCCCTTGTGCACATGCTGTCCTGCAGTGTGAGAAGGGCATCATCAGCGGAGGCAGGGGAGGCACCGAGAACTAAGCACTGCTGTGCTATGACCTGTGGGTGACAAGAGTAAAAGCCACATGTGCCCTCTTAAGGCAGGGAGCTCCTGTTTCTTAGTGGCTGCTCCATCGCTCTTGGATTGGCTGAATGTCCAGCAGAGGACGCACTGTCCAGCAACCTCACCCAGCTCTCTTGCCGGGACTCAGCTGAGAGCCTGGCTCGGGGGCCTTGGAGCATGGGACACATGTCAGGACCTCCCAGTGCTGGTCTAGGGTTGAAGCTGGGCCCGGAAGCCCTTCTTTCTTCTAGAGCCTCCCAGGCAGGGAACTGTTTTTACCTTCTGGGATGACATTCTTCTGGACTGACTCACTGATAAGTGCTGTGCAAGTTGGTTCCTTCTAAAGGTGAATGCTCTGGTTATTCATTCAGCCACATATAAGAGGCAAGATGTGGGATTTGAGGCACAGTCCCTGCTTCTTAGGTAAGAGTCCTCAGGAAGTTAGAGACCTAAGTGACTTTGCTGATTCTCTCTGAATGAGAGAGAGGCTTGAATCTTTTGGTCACCCTAGTCATGACCAAAAAGAACAGCAATAAAAAAAGTTAGCAAATGGAGCGGCAGAAAGATCTTAATTGGGATTTGACGATAATGTTCAGTTATCCCTGCCTGGCAATGGTCAGGATAAAGTAATTGGGTTTTAAGGAAGCATTTACTATTCTTTGTGTGTTCTTTGGCGCTGTTAACATGGGCAAGGTTTGGGGTTTAACACACAGCACCAATAAATACATAAGCAAACAAACAAACAAACAAACAAATAAGAGCTATGCTTTAACCCTTGGAAGAAGTCTGCAGGTGGTCTTAGGCATCTGCCTTCCTCACACCTCAAGCTTGGTAGTCCTCAGAGTTAGGGCTTTGCTTTTAACACCTGCCCACTCCTGCTTACAGTGGCCCTCCATTCTATAGAGGGTTGTGCCGTTGGCTGAGATGCTCACTGCTTTCCAGGGAATGTGGATGGAAGCAACCTCTTTGGAATTGGAAGTTTAAAATTAACTTGTAATGGAAGAGTAAGAGCCAACTCTGTGTCATTGTGGAACACGTTTTAACCTCTAGCAACTGTATAAGCGTTCATGAGCTAATTCAAGTCCTAGCTTTTCTCTCATTTAAAAATTTATTTGTTGGGCTGCGATATTTCTTGGTGGTAAAGCACTTGTCTAGCAGGCACAAGACTGGGTTTGATTTCCAATACCATATACACAAAGCTTTTACAAGAAGTTTTTAAAGACAGGGTCTGTAGCTCAGGCTGGCCTCGAACTCCACCCCTGCCCCCCAACACAGGGTTTCTCTATGTAGCCATGGCTGTGCTGGAACTTGCTCTGTAGACCAGGCTGGCCTCTAACTCACAGAGATCCCGCCTCTGCCTCTGCCTCTGCCTCTGCCTCTGCCTCTGCCTCTGCCTCTGCCTCTGCCTCTGCCTCTGCCTCTGCCTCTGCCTCTGCCTCTGCCTCCGGAGTGCTGGGATTAAAGGTGTGCGCCACCAATGCCCGGCCCCACTAATTTCTTTACTTTAGATATTTACTGTTCACTTCTGCCATGGGAGATATTGCTCGATTACCCAGTCACATACTCCTCCTCCTTCAGTATCATGAATTTTGGTTGACTCATTATTTAGTGCTTATGACTTTATCTCTGTCTTTCCCAAATAAACCCCATAGTCTACTGTTAACTTTTTTCCCTTCCTTCCTTCCTCCTTTCCTTATTTATTTCTTTACTTTTGGAGACCATGTCTTACTCTGTAGACCAGGCTGGCTGGAAACTCAGTAAGTACTTTAGGATAACCTTGAACTCCTGATTTTCTAGCCTCTACCTCCCAAGCCCTAGGATCACAAGTCTGAACCATCATCCTTGGCATTCTTTTATTTTATTTTTTGTGTGTGAGTATTTGTACATATGGCATAGTATATGTTGAGGTCAGTGGACAGCCTGGAGCGTTGGTTCTCACCTTCTACCTTGTTTGAGCCAGGGTCCTGTTTTTTTCCATTGAAAATTGCCAGCATGGTCCTGGAGTACCTGGAGAGTGGCCTGTCTGTCTTCCATCTCCCTGTGGGAGCTGGGGCATTATAATCTTGTGCTTACTGCATTTGTCTTTACATGGGTTCTGGGGATTCAAGCTCAGGTACTCATGCTTACATGAGCAATCTACCTGGCCCCACTTTCTGTATTATTTTCCTTTTGTACAATTATCATTTAAAAATTGTTTCTTGAGGTTTCTTTGTGCTACCTAAGTGAACTCTTGTTCACTGAAGTTCAGTTCTTATACTCTATACTTCAGTTGGGGGCTTTCTTTGTGCTTTCCTAGTAAGGGCTTTCTCAGCTCAGGAGTGGGTTCCATTGTAGAGCAGTCAGGTCGTTAGAGAGGGGAGTTCCAGCTGTGTGAGGAGGCTTCTCCTGCCTCCCTCATCTCTTGCTTGGAAGGCAGACAACTAGGACGTTGACAGCCAAATCTGAGCAAGGGTTCCAGTCATTGGTAGCTTAAACATTCTACATCAGGCCCATTTTGTCCCCAGCTGAGGCCTCAACAACCCTAGAGAGTGAAGGCTTTAGCTGCTGCAGGAAATGCAGGGGGTACTTGGCTTCAAGAGCAGCAAGAGTGAGTACCAAGTCCTAAGGATTCTCTGTGTGACCACCGATAACACTCCCATCTGTGGGGTAGTCTGCAGATTCCAGTTGCAAGCCGCTGGGAAGTCTGTGGCAACAGCTGGTCAGTTCCTTCTTGGCTCTGGGTACTCAGGGACACTTTTGAGTCAGTGTCCCCTGCTCTGAGTGTCACTTTTTTTTTTTTTTAAGTTTAATATATTTTTAATAGCAAACTTACAGGAACAGCACAGAAGACAGACATTAAAAACATGTACTTGCATGTAGGACAGCTCAGTTAGAAAAGTATAGTGGATGGATAGAATCTACTGTATAATAAAAATGCTACAAATACCATTTAGTTGCCATCAATAAGAAATTTCCTTATTTTAAAAAAAATCCAAATCCTGGCATTGTCCAGAAAATTTTAACAGGTTTATTTATAATTGTTATAAAGTTGAACTGTTGAAATGTGTTCACTGAAACTTTTGTTTGCATTACTGCTTTACATCTTGCCTTTATATTAAAAATGCACGGGGCTGGAGAGATGGCTCAGAGGTTAAGAGCACTGACTGCTCTTCCAGAGGTCCTGAGTTAAATTCCCAGCAACCACATGGTGGCTCACGACCATCCGTTATGAGATCTGGTGCCCTCTCCTCGCAGATACACATGGAAGCAGAATATTGTATACATAATAAATAAATAAAATCTTTAAAAAAAAATTCACACGCAAAAGAAAATGGACGAACTGCCAATACCTGATTTCTGATCCCTATTTTTCCACTTGCAATCATATACTTAGGTACATTTTGACCCCATGGAAAAAATATCTAACATTCAGAACTACTGATAACAGGAAGAGGAAAAAAATTTTGAGAATGAAATGTTTCCCCTCATAGTGGACTCTTAAGCACGTTCTCCGTGTATGAGGCGTGCTAGCTGGATATCTTTTGGCATAATTGTTACACGTTTGGCATGGATAGCACACAGGTTTGTATCTTCAAAAAGGCCAACCAGATAGGCCTCACTTGCCTCCTGCAAAGCACTAATAGCTGCACTCTGGAAGCGCAGATCTGTTTTTGAAGTCCTGAGCAATGGCTCGCACCAGACGCTAGAAGGGGACTTGCGAATGAGAAGTTATGATTTCATCAAGTGCCACAGTACCGGGCCTGTAACGATGAGGTTTCTTCACCCCTCCAGTAGAGGGTACACTTATTGCGAGCGGCTTCTGTAGCTCGTTGTTTACTAGGTGCTTTACCAACGGTGGATCTGCGGGCAGGCTGCTTTGTAAGAGACATGATATGAGCACCCCTTACTTACCCACCTTCTCCTGCTGCTGGAGCTCGGCAAGCGAGAGGCGGCGCTGGCATTAGAGAGCGGCGGGGCTGCCGAGTGTCGCTATCTTTTAAATGCTTCTGTAATCTCCGTTGTGGTTTCTTCATCCTTCTGTCTCTTTTTTTATTTTAATTTTTTAAAATTTTATTTTATGTACATTGGTGTGAGATTGTTAGATCCCCCTGAAAATGGAGTTACAGACCGTTGTGAACTACTTTGTGGGTACTGGGAATTGAACCTGGGTCCTCTGGAAGAGCAGCTGCTGAGCCATTTCTCCAGCCCCCTCTGTCTCTCGTTTTCTTTATTTTTAAAGTGATATTTGCTGTCATTGTAGTCGGAATTGGAAGAGAAATAGTGATAAAAGCAGGAGGTATTCAGTCTGTTGTGTCATAATTAATTACAAATTTTTAGTAAGAATTATAAGCTAGGTGATGGTGGTGCATGCCTTTAGTCCTAGCACTTAGGAGGCAGAAGCAAGCAGATCTTGGAGGTTGAGGTTGTTGTAATTCAAGAAACACACCATATGACAGGGTTCAAGTAGAAGGGTTTATAATTAGGGAAAGGGATCATAAAAAGGAGAAAGGGAAGAGGGGAGACCAGTCTCTGGAGAAGGAGCAGCAGGAGAGAGGAAAGGGGAGTGCAGGGACAGACAGAGGGAGAGAGAGAAAGAGAAGGATGGGAGGTAGGCAGGGCCCTTTTATAAAAGGGAACATAGTGAATATGCACAGGTGGCTGCAGCTGAGGGCATGTCCTGTCAGAACCCCAAGGACAGGTATAGATGCCTGAATACTAACAGAAGTCAGCGTGACCTACAAAGTGAGTTCCAGGACAGCCAGAGCTACACATAGAAACCCTGTCTCAAAAAACTAAAACAACACAAATTAAAAAAAAAAAAAATTATGGGCTGGGCGTTGGTGGCGCACGCCTTTAACCCCAGCACTCGGGAGGCAGAGGCAGGCGGATCTCTGTGAGTTCGAGGCCAGCCTGGTCTCCAGAGAGAGTGCTAGGATAGACTCTAAAGCTACACAGAGAAACCCTGTCTCAAAAAACCAAAAAATAATAATAAGAATAAGAATTATGGCTTTCTTTCCTAGTATTTTAGGTTAACAAAGTAGTGGTTTTTTTTCATCATGGCATCCTCATATTTATGTGTTTGTTTGTTTGTTTGTTTGTTTTTTCTTTTTGAGAAAGGATATTTCTGTATACCAGGCTGTCCTTGATACCTGCCTGCCCCTACCTCCTGAGTGCTGGGGTTAAAGATGGGTTCCGCCAAGTTCAGCTAGCTGTATTATAGATTGTATTTTATGAGTGTTTGCCTGCCTATATGTACGTGCTTCACATGCGCGTCTGGTGTCTGAGGTCAGATGAGGGCATCAGATCTTCTGAAACTGGAGTTACAGATGGCTGAGAACTGCCATGTGGGTGCTGGAAATCAAACCCAGGTCCTGTACAAGAGCAAAATCTCTTAACCTCTGACCCATCTTTCCAGCCTGCATTTGTTATTTGTTCATTTTCTGTCTCGTGCCAATTATCTTTAAACCAATGCATAATATTCTTTTTTTTTTAAGATTTTATTTATTTATCATATATACAACATTCTGTGTCCATGTATATCTGCACACCAGAAGAGGGCACCAGATCTCATAACGGATGGTCGTGAGCCACCATGTGGTTGCTGGGAATTGAACTCAGGACCTCTGGAAGAGCAGTCAGTGTGCTCTTAACCTCTGAGCCATCTCTCCAGCCCTGCATAATATTCTTAATACAGATTGTTTCCTGGGAGCTTTTGTTGTCACACACCCCTCTAAGTTAGATTTATCTATTTTATATGTGTATGTATACACATGTATGTGGAGATCAGAGGCCAACATTCAGGAGTCCTTTCTGGTCGTCTAGCATGTGGGGTTAGTTTTTAGGGGTTACAGTCACCACTGCTACAAGTCTGGTCCTTTTGAGCCATGACATGGACGGATGGACAAACACACACACACACACACACACACACACACACACACACACACACACACACACAGAGAGAGAGAGAGAGAGAGAGAGAGAGAGAGAGAGAGAGGAGAGAGAGAGAATATTTTTAAAAGATTCCCATAGCTTCTGCAGAAGCAAGCTCTCATCTTAATTTCCTCTGAACTGACAGAGATATACAGAAATGTATCCTAGACCACACTATCTGGAGTACCAGCTAGTGTTTTTTTGGGGGGGAGTAGGGGGGTTGAGACAGGGTTTCTCGTGTAGCTTTTAAATACAATTTAACTTTTCAGGACTATTGTGATATTTAAGTGTCAAACAAAAACAGAAGCCAAAGACAGGCATGGTGACACATTGTAATCCTGACATTTGGGAAGGCAAAGGGTGAAAGATCAAAAGTTAAAGGTCATTCTGAGTTTGAGGCTAACCTGGGGTACATGAGACCCTGCTTCAGAAAACCAAAATAATAATAAAACTCTGAGTTGGGAGACAGGGTTATGAAAAATCACTGTAGTCCTCGGAGGTCCCTCATCCCCCAGCAGGGTTTCCAGACGTTAAATTCCATGTGGTGCTGGAATTATAGACATGCACCATTATTGGTTTTACATAGGGAGTTCTAGATTCACCAGGGTTACACAGTGACAGCTTGTTTCAGAAAAACAAAACAAAACAACAACAAAAATAAAAACACTGGACAGAGGCAGGTAAATCTTTGTGAATTTGAGGTCAGCCTGGAATACAAATCGAGTTCCAGGACAGTCAGGGCTGTTACACAGAGAAACCCTGTCTTTGAAAATAAATAAGTAAATAAAACAAGGCAAAACAAAACCCTTCACATTATATAGGGTTCAAGGAACAGGAAATGAGCATTCTTAGGACATTTTACTACAAGCCTAAAACAACGAGACAGTGAGTTATTTCAGTAGCACCGCTTGTCCCTTGGCAGGAAGGGAAGTGGCCACATTCTTTGATAGGAAGTTGCATCTTTTTTTTTTTTTTTTTTTTAAATTTTTTTTTTTTTTTTATACAAAATTCTGCTTTCATGTATATCTGCCCACCAGAAGAGGGCCCCAGATCTCATAACGGATGGTTGTGAGCCACTATGTGGTTGCTGGGAATTGAACTTAGGACCTCTGGAAGAGCAGTCAGTGCTCTTAACCTCTGAGCCATCTCTCCAGCCCCCAGGAAGTTGCATCTTTTTAAAGATTTTTTAGATTGATTTATTATTTTATGTGTATGAGAGTTTTGCTTGTACATATGTATGTGCACCACAAGTACACCTGGTACCTATTAAAACCAAAGGAGGCGTCTAAGTTCCTCCCTAGAATTGGAGTTAGGGTTACAAGTTGCTGGAAGTCGAACCCAGGTCCTCTGCCAAGAGCAACGTGTAGTCTTAACTGCTAAGCCAACTCTTCAGCACCAGAAAGCTCCATTGTCTTAATAGCAACAGAGAGCCAGGTGATCTGAGATCAGTACCTGGAACTCAATAAAACTGGAAGGAGAAATCCACTCCTGAAGGTTGTCCTCTGACCTTTACATGTGTACCATGACATGTGCGTGCTCAGTTCCCACCCTCACACACCTTTTAATTTTAAAAAATAATAGGGTTTGGGGGCTACTTCCTCGGTTCAGTAGCCCACTCTCATTCTTGAGTGCCTTTTCCTTTCTTCATAAGCAGTCTCGGGGCCAGAGAGATGCTTCAGTGGTTTAGGGCACTTGTTGCTATTGCAGAGGACTGAGGTTCCAGTCCCATCACCCACGTAGCAGTTTAGGATCCTCTATAACACGATACAATGCTCTCTTCTGGCCTCTGATACATACACACAGGCAAAATACTCAGGCACAGAAAATAAAAATAAGCAGTCTATTTCTATTTTGTACGTAAACTTAAAAGGCATGGTTTTCTCTCCATCTCCTCCTGGCATGCCAGGATCATCTTCACATAACCCATAGTATATTTTTTTTCCTTAAATTCAATGAAAATTGTCCTTGAGCTTCAAAAATAAACAGTAAAAATTAAAAATTAGCCGGGCATTGGTGGCGCACGCCTTTAATCCCAGCACTCTGGAGGCAGACGCAGGTGGATCTCTGTGAGTTTGAGGCCTGCCTGGTCGCCAGAGCGAGTTCCAGGATAGGCTCCAAAGCCTCAGAGAAACTCTGTCTCGAAAAACCAAAAAAAAAAAAAAAATTAAAAATCAAGTAAATAAATAAGAGCAGAGAGAAAATAGGTCCTGGCTTATCCTTAGTAAATTTTAAGTTGTGGTGAATGGTGACAGGACTATAACTGATATGGCTAGGGTATTATTCATGCAGACTAATATTCTTTTTGTTTGTTTGCTTTGCCTCCCCCCCCCCCCCCCCCGCGGGTTTTTTTGTGGTGAGCTTTGGAGCCTATCCTGGCATTCACTCTGGAGACCAGGCTGGCCTGGAACTCACAGAGATCCGCCTGCCCCTGCCTCCCGAGTGCTGGGGTTAAAGGCGTGTGCCACTAACGCCTGGCTGTTTGTTTGCTTTTCAAGACAGGGTTTCTCTGTGTAACAGCTCTGGCTGTCCTAAAACTCGCTCCATAAACCAGGCTGGCCTTGAACTCAACAGAGATCCCCCTGCCTCTACCTCCCAAGCTCTGGGATTAAAGGCATGTGCCACCATTACCTGGCTTCTATTCTTATTTTTGCTTTGTGCACACACAAAAATGTTCTGTCCTGTCTATTGGCAGGACTGAGAAGTCAGGATACATTTATGATGGGGTTACATCAGCAACAAAAACTTCCAATTTCTTTCTGCTTTTTTCTGTTCTAGATGAGACAGAAGGACCCAGTGAAAGGAATGACAGCAGAAGACTAATGCTACTCCACCCCTTTCTGCACTGTATGTACTCAATTTCATTTTCACTGTGCATGTCATAATATACAACATGCCTCAAGGCCTCAGGAGCTCACTGAAATGAGAAAATCTACTTCATTCCTCATCCTTTACTCTAGTGAACTCCTGGGTCTCTCTGGAAAGGAATTGTGGCTGTTAGCTTTCAGGGCATGTTTTATAACAAGGCATACAGATGGACATGGGCAGGGTGGTGACAAGTGGAGGTGGTGTGCAGTGGAAGCACAGCTGATTGCCACTCATCACTCTTTCCCACTTTTAGCTTGAGCCATCATAAGGTCAAGCTGACATGCTGGGGCACTTTCTATACTCATGCCAGCATCAGCTCTGGCTAGCTGACACTGCCATTCCTCACCCTTCCCTTGGAAAACTGTCTGGACAGATTTAGCATTTGCTTTATAGTATTCATCCACATTCGATACCCTCCTGGTACTAATATACTAAGTAGCTCTGTCTTCAAAAAAGGCAGCCTCTTCCAGATGCTGCGGAAGACTTTTTAGCAGGTCATAGGGCCAAGAGGGGGTGTCCCTTGTTTTAGGAGTCATTCTTCCCCAACGCCTGTCCTTCCATTAGATCCCAATGCTTTCTCCTCTCCAATGTGCCTGTATACTTCAAGACTCATTCTGTAGCACAGAATGAAACACCTGGCTCTGCCCCACTTAGAGACTGTGAGAAAATTATTTGATCAAAGACTGAACACCCTCTAGCACCAAGAGGCTAAGGAAGGCTAAGGAAACCTAGTGCCTTTTTGCTCTCTGGCTGTTCCATGGTTCTTTTTCTTCCAGTGTTGAAGATCAAACCCTGGGGCATGTGCATTCCAGGCAGGCACTGTCTATCCCCAGCCTAACCCATGTTCTTAAGCAGCTTCTGGGAGATAGAAGGGGGGGGTTAAGTAGATGCCAGTTATGCACTCACCACCAGATCCTTAGTACCCTCTCTCCTCAGGACCTCTACCAATTGGCATCCTTCCTCCTGAAATTCCTCCACTCATCATGATTTACTGTTGCTTCCTTAATGTTTTCTATTTCTTTTCTAGTTTTGCAAGACAGTGGTCAACAGGAAGGCCCAGCAGCTCCACCCTCCTGAGTGGCAGGCCGTCTTTGGATGCAGCCTTTCTGTGCTCATTCTTCAGGCAACTTTCAATCCCTTACTGTAGCTATTTCTAGATGCCCTTTAACATTGTGAACAAATAGACCGTCTGGTATTACAAAGCCTGTGTGTGCGGGAGACTGATCCTCTAAGATATATGGTGTATGCTGCTGTATTTACAGCTCACCCCTCTCTCCATTGTGTCCTGACCCATTTCTGTATGCCCTCCCCCTTTATTTCCAAGTGACATTTTTAGTCTTTCAAATTAGCTGCCTTTTGTGATGTGATTATTTAAGCTCACTTACTTCAGCCTTGGGATAAACTGAGCTATTTTGCTTCCTGGGCAGATCTTTGGCAATGTTGAGTATTCACTTGGGGAGAGAGGAGGAGTTAAAAATACAGAGATACCTGCCCCCAGTTCTACACAATAGGAATGTAGCTTCATAAACCTGACCTCTGCTCCTAGTAATCTCTTGTCAAGTGCTCTAAGCACCAAGAAGGTACCCAAGGCCCAGCCAGTCTAAGGAAATTTAGCAAATAATAAATAACCCCTACTCAAGTCATTGTATCTCTGGTTAATATTCTTAGATATCTTGGCTTCTCAGTCCTCCTGTTGCCCACTCTGTCTGAATCTCTTTGCAGAGCCTACAAGAAACCCATCACTCCCCACCTGGAGAGTTGTCCAGTGTGGCCTGTATGTCCTGGAGCTCTGTATGTCCATGCTCCTCTGTATGCCTGAGGAGCTCTATATGTCCATGCTCCTCTTCCCTTTTGGGCTGGTGCTGTCACTCAGCAATAATCCTATGTCTGTGCTTTCGTAGGTCCCTGTCCTCTTTGAGGCTGGTTAGGATGCAAGAGTCCTGGTCTTTTCATGCTGCACAAAACAAGCATGCAAAAAGCTTTTTTCCCCTAGCAAAACACATCCCTTCCTGTTTCCAATCACTGGAAAGGAGTTTGCAGATCAAGAACTTGGCCCATACTGCCCCCATGCTGAGTTCTGTACTGGACAATCAAAAGCAAGCAGTGACTGTAGCCTAGAATTCTTACCACAGTAGTCTGGAGAAGCCCAGGCTCTGAGGGAGCAGAAGCTACTGAGCAGCACTTCTTAGTTCTTCTAGATTGGCAGAAACTGAGTATGCCTTCCTGGAGGGAGAATGAGACCTTGATGTGCCACCTGACATTTCCTAGTCCTTGTTTAGTCAGCCCGTGCTAGCCTGGGTATCTATTAGAGGAGAAGAAGTAGGATGGAGTCATTAATCCTTGTTTTGTTGGTTTGTTTGCCTTATTCATTTCTAAGTGCAATAAGGGAGTGTCTCACCTGTGAGATTCTGATTGGATACCTCCCTATGGTCCTCCTAGAGCAAGGACAGATTTGGGCCCCTCACAATGGTTAGCTCTAATCTTCATTGAGGTCCTTTTGAGACCAGGAGATGTCCTTGTGGAGTCTTTAGAAACACACTGGTTCTCTAATGCTTAGGATCAAACTGTTGGATGGTGATTAGCATCTCAGCAGCTAGTAGTATGGGAGAGTTGGAAAAGAGTCATTCCTAATGAAGAAAAATACAAATGTTCTTCTACAAGCTCTGTATTACCTGTCAGTCATATTTGTGCTTAAAGATTTTCCTTGTCAACTAGGTTGAAGTCCAGATGGGAGTTATCTTGAGTGAAACGCATACTCTAAGCAGACAAAATGGCGTGAGGTCAGATGTTGGTCTCCTTCAGCACTTCTTTGAGATCCACACGTATCAGTCACATCAGCTCCAGTCCGGGCTTGTTCTTATCTGCCTTTGCCCTGGCTCCTCCTGCCTCCTCCTGTTGCCTACATTTGAAAGCATCCAAATGTTAGGAACTAGAATTTCCTGAGATTAGTCTGTATTCAGAGCTCCTGCCCATGTGAACAAACACAAAAGAGGGATGTCCTTGGTCTGTCCCATCCCCCATGGGTGTTGTTGCTGCTGGGCAAGTGTTGGCTTTTAAGTATCCCCTTTCTTAACCTGTCCCCCAAACTGACTCTCACTCAGAGGGCTCAACTCTGGTGATAATCCCTGAGGGTGTGTCATGCCCCTTCAGACTGACTGCTCCCCTTATACTCCCAGGGTCCTACATCAAAGTAAAAGCCAGTGCCTCTCACGAGGCCTGCTGGCCTCTGGCCTCCTTGTGGAGAAGCGCTGGGGAGGGATAGGTCGTGGTCAGTGTTGTGGGCATGTGCATATCCAAGTTCTCCTTTTCCAGGCCCCCTGGGTCCCTGACTTACTTGGGGTGGTTCTTAGTGCTGCTTCTTTTAACAAACCACACTTTGTAGAACTGACTAGATTACCGTGTTGATTTAATGTAAGTTTGTGCCTTTTTGTCTCAATCTTCCAATACAGGTATATTGGGGGGGAAAGCAGTCTAATAAAATCCTAGACAGAGTATTTAGAGTTCAGCTTATTAGTGATGCTCTAATGTCCATTTTCCAATTTAGATATCCTTAAAGCTCCTACTGATGTGTCTCCCCAGTTTACCAGGGTAGGATTATGATAAGAAATAGTGGTGTCTCTGAAAATTTATGCTATGTAAATAAAGTATTCCTTGTCCAAAAAAAAAAAAAAAAAAAAAACCACCAATGCACAGGTGTATCTACATGAACACACATATAAACACACTAGAAGCCAGTCTTTGCTCATGGGCTGCTCAAACATCAAGCCCCTGAAACTGTTATCCATGGTACTAAGGAGATGCCACACTTGAATATCTCAAACAAATTCAGCTCTTCAAATGAATTCCTTTTTAATTCAGGTACGGTGGTTTATCCTATAACCCCACCACTTGGAAGTTTGGAAGTTGTCCTGAACTGCCTCGAACTCACAGAGATCCACCTGCCTCAGCCTCCTGAGTGCTGGGACTAAAGGCGTGCAAGACCATTGCCCAGCTTCTTTGCTTGTTTTTTTTTCCCCTCCTTTCTTTCTTTCTTTCTTTCTTTCTTTCTTTCTTTCTTTCTTTCTTTCTTTCTTTCTTTCTTTCTTTCAAGATTTTATGTATACAGAGTTTTGCCTGCATGTATGCCTGCAGGCCAGAAGAGGGCACCGGATCTCATAATGGATGGTTGTGAGCCACCATGTGGTTGCTGGGAATTGAACGCAGGACCTCTGGAAGAGCAGTCAGTGCTCTTAACCTCTGAGCCATTTCTCCAGCCCCTTCCTTTCTTTTTTTTTTTTAAGCTGTGGACAAATTAGTTTGAGAGGGAAAACAACAGGACAGGCAAGCTGTAAATCTTGGCAACTGTTTGAAGAAAAGACTAACCCTTTTGTGAGCAGCCACATGGTGAAGAGTGAAAAATCCAAAGCATCAGGAAAAGCGTGCCTGGGCTTTGGAAAAGAAAAAAATCACCGTTTGGAGGCTGAAGAGATGGCTTGCAGTTGAGAACATGTACTGCTTACAGAGGACCTGAGTTTAGTTCCCAGCACCTGCATCAGAGTTTACTGATGCCTGTAACTCCAGCTCCAGATGTTCCAAATCTCACCAGGCACCTGCACTCCTGTACACCGCCCCACCCCCACAATTAAAATAAAATCTTGTTTAAAGGCTGGCTGGCCTGCCATGGTGCCACAGGGCTTTAATCCAAGCATTGCACAGGCAGGTGGAGGTCAGTCTGGTCTACAGAGAATACTAGACCAGGTTCACTCACATCACTGCAAGTGGGAACAGACAACAGTCACTACTGCTGTTTTGTTTTGTTTTTATTTTGTTTTAAATTGTATTTTTCTTTAAGAGTAATGTGCACCACGGGCATGCCTGGTACCCAGAGAAATCAAAAGGGCCTTGGATCCCTTGCAACTGTATTTAGAATGGTTATGAGCCACTATGTGGGTAATGAGAGCCAAACCCATGTCCTCTGTAAGTGCTCTGAGACCTCTCCAGCCCTTACATTTTTATTACTGGAAGTCAGAGGACAACTTGGAGTGATTCCATCCACCCCAGGAAGGTGTTAAAGACTTGGTAACCAGAGGTTGCTCTCCCCCCCCCCCCCCCCCCCCAGTTTTGAGAAAGGATCACACCACAGTCCTGATGGCCTGTAACTCTTTTAAGGCAGCTCAAGCTGGCCTCAAACTTGAGTAACATCCTGCCTCAGCGTCCTGGAATTAGATACACACCACTACACCTTGTCCCAGGACATACATTTAAAGTAGCAGGATGCTTGTGAGTTCTCGAAACTGGGCGCCACTGAGTAGTTGGTACTACAGGTGAGACCCACCGTGCGGTGCTAAAAAGCAGGATCTTTAACTTGACTTTCCAGTGTGTGAATCTCATGGAGATTGTTAGTAAAACAATTCGGGAAACAATCTCTCTGCTTTCAAGAAATTATAACCAAAGACCTAAAGGGAATAAATCAAAGTGAGTCTGCCAAAGTAAATAGTGATATGAGTCCAATATACACTAAATAGGAGCCACGACTTGTGTGTCATTCACTGATGGCTCATTTTCCGAGCCCGGGAATCCCAGAATGTGCTTTGTATTCAGCAAAACTAGGTTCGAGCTGGGCATAGTGGTGCACTCATGTCTCGGCTCTGAGGTGGTAGGTTCGGCTTGGTCTGCATAACAAGCTCCCAGGACATAACAGCGAGACTGTCTCGGGGAAATGAAACCAAACGACGACCAGAGAGTCACTTAAAAGAATGCAAAGGTCCCAAGGAACCGCAGAAATTACTTTGAAGTGCGGAGTGAGGGAGGCCGAGCGGACGGACAGACTATCCTGAGCGTTCCCACGCTGCCCACTCCCGGATTCTGAGGGTAGGCAGACGACAGACAGAACTTTACGCCACGGGACGGTCGCCAGCCAGCCCGAGGCCGCGCGCAACGCTCCCCGCGCCCTCGCCCTCGCGCAAGGCAGGCTGGGAGTGCGGGGCGCCGCCACCCACTCGCACTGTGGTCGGTGAGGGCGGTGTGGCGTCGGGGGCGGATGACTCGCGTCTCTTCGTCTCGGAACCCATCTCCGCTCCGCCTCTGGGCGTTTCGCTCTGCAGTGGAGTCCCGCCTCTGTTTTCCCAACCGCGCCTCACACTCCTGAGCGCTCACGATCCGCCTCCTACGGAAGCCGAGGCACACAGTCAGGATCCGGAAGAAAAACAATTCGGAGGGAACAGTGCCGCTGATACTGGCCACCAAGGAAGGGCTGCTCCGGTTCGCACTGGCTGGAGCGAGGAGTCACGGCGTGGGAATGAAGTCGGCTGCGTGCCTACGGAGGCCGAGCACACCGAAAGTCTCTGTACTCAGGTGAGGACGCATTTATAGGCCGATCGGTTACTGGCGGTTCACTGTCTTCGTTTCAGTCTGATTTGTGGGGCTGGGCACCAAAAACGGTGGAATCAAGAGGACAGGCCTACAAGGCTGCCCTTGTTTGGACCCCCAGACTCTGCCAGGCCAATATTGAATGGGCTGTTAGACCTGATGCCCGTCCTAAACTTGGACTGCCAAACTGGTCACTGCAGATGCTTCCCAAGCAAGTGTCCTGTTGGTTTTTAAGAGCACACAGACAGTAGTGTCTAAGACATTCTTCCCTTCCGCTGTAGAATAGACGTT